CCTCTGTCTCCTGGGTTCAAGCAATTCTCCTGCCTCAGCCTCCTGTGTAGCTAGGACTACAGGTGCATGCTGCCACACCCAGCTAATTTTTTTTTGTATTTTAGTAGAGATGGGGTTTCACCATATTGCCCAGGCTGGTCTCGAACTCCTGACCTCAAGTGATCTGCCCACCTCGGCCTCCTAAAGTGCTGCAATTATAGGCATGAGCCACTACACCCACCCTAAGCCAAATTTAATGTTTACAGATACCATCCAATAAAAAGTATACAGATTTCCTATATCACTCTTTATAATACTACCAACCCACTTGTTTTGACCAATCAAAGTAAACTTGTGCAACACTATCTGCTTTGCTTTATGCTGTGGTTTCAGGCCACTTACCAGTTTATGCAGATTAATTCTAAAATTCTATTTTCTTTCTTCCCCTCCTTCCAAGACAGGCTTTATTTACAAATGTGACCAAACTCTCTAAGCCTGAGCATTGATAAAATGTAAAATAAAACCAGATTTGGCAACGCACAGTGGCTCACGCCTGTAATCCCAGCATTTTGGGAGGCCAAGGCAGGCAGATCATGAGGTCAAGAGATCAAGACCACCCTGGCCAACATGATGAAACCCATCTCTACTAAAAATGCAAAAATTAGCTGGGTGTGGTGGCATGCACCTGTAGGTCCAGCTACTCAGGAGACTGAGGCAGGAGAATCGCTTGAACCCCGGAGGCAGAGATTGCAGTGAGCCGAGATCATGCCACTGTACTCCAGACTGGCAACAGAGTGAGACTCCATCTCAAAACAAAAATGCAAAAATTAGCCAGGCATTGTGGTACACACCTGTAGTCCCAGCTACTCGGGAGGCTGAGGCGAAGAATCACTTGAACCTGGGAGGCAGAGGTTGTGGTGAGCCGAGATCATGCCACTGCACTCCAACTTGGGCAACAAAGCAAGATCCCGTCTCAAAAAGACAATACTAAGCTGTATGTATTTCCCTACTGCCAATTATGGGGAGAAGTAGCTTTATTTCATTTCCTGCTTTCACCTTTTCTCTTTGACCCATAGAGGTCTCTATTATGTTTATACTATTATTGGTAAAGTGGATAGTTTCTTTTTTTGTTTTTGTTGTTGTTGTTGTTGTTGGTACAGGGTCTCACTCTATCACCCAGGCTGGAGTGCAATGGCAGGATGATGGCTCTTTGCAGCCTCCACCTGCCCCGGCTCAACTGATCCTCCCACCTCAGCCTCCCAAGTAGCTGGGACCATAGGTATCCATCACCACACCTGGTTATTTTCTTTTTTAATTTTTTATAGGGTCTCCCTATATTGCCCAGGCTAGATTTGAACTCCTGCTGGCCTCAAGCAATCCTCCTGCCTCCGCCTCCCCCTCCAAAATACTGGGATTACAGGCATGAGCCACTATGTCTGACAGTGGATATTTTCCATCTGTGAATTCTCCTTTGGTATTGTCCACTTAAGAGTAACCTGAGGCCGGGCGCGGTGGCTCAAGCCTGTAATCCCAGCACTTTGGGAGGCCGAGGCGGGTGGATCACGAGGTCAAGAGATCGAGACCATCCTGGTCA